CCCCCCCCCCCCCCCCCCCCCCCCCCCCGCCAAGCCTAGCGGGACCGTCCAAACCGGTGTGTCGCGCAGGGGTGACTCCGGGTTCTGGGGGCCTTCTCCGAGTGAAGGCGCAAAGAGGGGAGGAAACACACGGAGCCGGTGTCTTTCTTTCTGATTTAATTCCATCCAGTGCCCCCCTCCCCCGTAGCACCTGGGGGGGCCGTGGAATACCCGATCGAGTCCGTAAAAAGTCACAGTTTGAAGGGGATGGGAGGAGCAGTCTGGGCATGGGTCCGACACCTATACAGCTGACTGCTCCTCGGGTTCGGCGTTCTCGGCCAGGTGCAGCTTCTGTCTGTGCCAGTCAGTCAAGGATTGCGATGCTTTGGACCCCAGTCTTTCCAGCCCTGTCTGCCCATCCTGCATTGGCTTAGTTTTCCGAACCGCACAAAGGGGCGGGGCCGGAGGACTCGGGTGATTCGTGGTCCAGGTGGCAGTCCACACCCGCCCTTCTTGCTAGATGGCTTACTCCCTTCTCTTTGGGTCTAGATCGTGCAGGTCCGTGCACTCGCACTATTTCTGGCTGAGACTAACTGGGGAGATAATCTAAATCAGTGAAAATAATTATTCAATGTCAAAAGAGTAGGAAGACAGCAGACAAGCTTTGCCATGGATTGGGGTGAGCTGAAGTACTGGCAAAGATTCTCTTTTAAAGATTTTATTTTGGGGGCGCCTGGGTGGCTCAGTCAGTGAAGGGTGGGACTCTTGATTTCTGCTCAGGTCATGATCTCAGGGTTGTGAGATGGAGCCCTGCAGGGAGCTCTGCCCTGGGCATGGAGCTTGCTTAAGATTCTCTCCCTCTCCCTCTGCTCACCCCTCTAACTCTCTTTGAAAATTTTCTTTCGGGGCACCTGGGTGGCTCAGTGGGTTAAAGCCTCTGCCTTCGACTCAGGTCATGATCCCAGGGTCCTGGGATCGAGCCCCGCATCCGGCTCTCTGCTCAGCGGGGAGTCTGCTTGCCCCGTCTCTCTGCCTGCCTCTCTGCCTACTTGTGATCTCTCTTTCTGTCAAATGAATAAAATCTTAAAAAAAATTTTTTTTCACTAGTGTAACTAAAAAGGTTTTATTTTAAAGTAATCCCTGCACCCAACATGGGGATCGAATTCACAGCGCTAGAGATCAAGAGTCTGAAGCTCTACAGACTAAGACCGCCAGGGGCCTCGCTTGCAAGGATCTTCATAAGTAGATAAATCACATTCCCTATAACTATCTTTCTCCTGATAGTTGGGATAAGTCTGCGTGGGAGGCAGCTTGTGGCTAATTCTGCTTCGGTAGGACAGGAAGGGGGAGATGTTGGTTTTAGTGTAAATACTCCTAGAGGGTGGTGGGGACAAGGAAACTGATTTTATCTATGGGAGGTGTGACACACACACACACACACACACACACACACACACACACAGCAGGGTCCCCCTGGAAAGGATACATAGAATTACTAAGATCTTCCAGCTGTCAACAGAGAGGAAAGGAGGTTTCTGTCAGGAGATGCGCCAGGCCAAACCTCAGATGCTCTGTGAGGCATCTTCTGGTGGGGGTTGGTGCTCCATGCACCCCCAGTTTTTCACCCAGGGGCCAGGAATAGCCTTAGGATCATGTACCTCCCCCACCCTCTCGTGTCCCCAGGAACAGAAGCCCCCAGCCCTGACCCACATTGCTAAGCAGCTGGTCCAGGTTGCGGTCAGCCATCGTCTTCTTCTGCTCCTCAGGCAGCCCCTCAGTGACCCCGTCCTCTTCCTCCTCCTCCTCCTCCTCCTCCCCACACACGTCCAGGCTGAAGTGCAACCGGGCCAGCTTCTCCTGCATCTCCCGCACGTGCTCCAGCTGCTCAAAGGAGCATTCCTTCCCTGGACAACACCTGTCTGAGCCCTGGGAGTAGCTTGGGACCCTGGCCCCAGCTACGGCCCAGGGGCCAGGCCCTCCAGCCCCACCCACACACCCTCTCAGTCCAGCCCCTGGGACTCACCAAAGGCCTGCAGCCGGCCTGAGTGAAAATCATTGAGCAGGTTCAGCAGTCCCCCCTCCATCTCATAGACGTCGGTCACCTCGGTCAGAAAGGAGTGCTGCAGGGGCGTGCCTGCAGAGCCGCCCCCACTTCCGGCCAGCACGGGGCGACATTTCTCCTTGCCTACCCTGGGTGGGGTGGGCATGACCAAGGTCACAGGGTGGGGGCGGCCAGGTACCAAAGGTTTTCATGCCATCGGACTATGCACTAATTCACCTTCCTATCTACTCCCAAACAGAAATGGATGTCTGCTCTTCTGGCCCTGCCCTGGGCGCCAGGACTGGGAAGTGGGTGAGGAGGGGTAGGGAGAAGAGTCAAAGGAAGTCTTTTTCTTCAGGTGACACTCAGCCAGAACTGGGGCTGGAGGGGGGCTTTGGGGCTTCTGTCCGAGCCCTGCACTCATTCCTCCCATGACCCTGGGGGAATCACTCATCCTCCCTGGGGACAGTTACTCCTTATTGCCATGACAGCCATCTTACCTCTCCCCAAAATATCTTTCCGCTCCTCTTCTATTTCAAAACGGTTTTGAATTTTCCACTGTCCCCAGGATAACCCTGAAGGACCTTTCTCAGCCTGCCCCCCCCTTTCCTGTTGCATTTTCTACTGGTCTTGCTCCAGCCCTGGGCTTCAGCGACACCCCCTGCAGCCGTCCCTAGACGGATCTGTCCGGCAGATAGTGTGCAAAGCCACAGGGAGGCACAGTCATGGGAGAAAGAACACCTTGTGTTTCGTGGGAAATAAACATGGAGACCTTGTACGGTAGAATGCAGATCCCCATTTAGAAAAATTAAGCAAAAATTCGGATTGTACATCTGGGTCTCCCTTTACCATCTCCTGCTCCATGACACTCCAGGGCAACAACCACCTGTGGTTCTGGGAACCTCCCAGGCAATATTTTTCTTCCGTACTTCTGTCAGGCAATTTCATCAGCTTAGACATTCTCTCTCTCTATCTATCTATCTCTATCTCCAGTGCCCTACAGCCTCTCTTTCTGGCATCGCTCACTGCCTGTTCTGAGGAGATCCCAGTCACCCATCTGGCCTTTCCCCTACACCTGAGGACAGAGACTGGGGCCGAGGCATCTCTGAGTTTTCTCTCAGCGGCCCGTGGGGGCAGCCCCGGGGAAGGCATCAACTGTTGCTAAGGCTAAGTCTTAGGCTAAGGCTGTCTTTACCTTCCCACAGGGCTCAGCCCAGAGTTGGGGTCCCTCCCTCCTTGCCCTGCTTTCCTTCTGTACCCACCTCTTGAACTTGGCCCGCTGCTTGGGGGACGGCAGATGAGGGAGTCCCAGGGCCAAGGAGCCGCTGTGGCTGGTGGGCACGGGGACCCTTCGTAATGTGCCAGGGGCCTGGGCTGGCTGGGTCAGGCAGGGCTTGGGACTCCTTTTCTTCTTCTTGTCCTCCATTGGATCCCGGCTGGACCTCAGGTCCCACTGAGATAGTGAGAGGCAAAGCCATCACTTCACCCGGCCACCCCTGAGGCTGCAAAGGAAGGGCCCTGGGACCTTCCCACCTTCCCCTCATAACTGCCAGGGTCTTGGTCCTCTCCTTTGTCCAGGATGGGCAGGGCCCGGATGCCAGTGCCTTCCTGCTAGGGTCTTGGATTTGTATTTGAAGGAGCTTCCAGGGCCCACCCCAGGTCCCCCACCTGCCCTCCAGCCCTGGCCTGAAAACCTGGCCCCTGCCTGGAAGGGCTGGACCAGACACAATTGTCCTGCTGCTGCTGGGATTTCCTGTCCCAGGAGCTGTCGGGGCGGAGCTGGCAGGGGAAACGGAGAGGGAGGCAGAGTGGATGTGAGCCGGCAGGAGGCCAGTGGACGATTAGGGGTGTCTTAACTAGGTTCTCTTGTGTTTAATCAGCTGTCCAGGCAGATGCTGACAAATCCCATCGGCAAGGGAAGTGACAGAGGTGTGGGTGGGGGCGCCTGGGAAGACTTCAGGGTCAGGCCTTCACCACCAGGGGATGGGTGATGGGGCTCACTGTGGGTACCCTGCCACTCAGACGCCAGCATCCCTCCTCTTCCGCCCACCCCAATCTCAAACATCAGGCAGTTCCCAGAAGTTCTCTGGGATGGGCTTCCCACCTCTTCCCCCTCCCTGGTCAGAAAGGCCCCGCTCCGCTTCAGCTGCAGCCGGAGGTGGGGGGCTGGGTGGTCTGGCAGCTGGCTGCCTCGGCCTCCAACAATGGCTGCGCCTGTGGCTGGCACTGCTCAGCCTCCAGGCCAGCTCCACCCCCAAGCCTCAGGTCGGCTGAGGTCCTCCTGGAGGAGGCCCTTCCAAGGGCTTTCCCAAGCTGTTTGCTCCAGGCTGCCGCCACCAAGCCTCGGTCTGTGCTCTGGGATGGTGGGGCCACTGGGGGCAAACTGGCACCTGGCTGGCCGGCCCCAGGGGGGTGTGGTGGAGGGGAGACCAGAGCACGTCCTCTGTCTTGCATTGCAGTGGCTTGGCCCAATTAGGGACTTGATAGAAGAAATGGAGCAGGAGCCCCTGTTCCCCAGGAATGGCTGGGGGCCGCCTGGGATCTATTTCCCAAGCTCAGTCTTCAAAACCGCGTGCCAAATGGATCACTCAACTGGGAAGCCAAGATCCGAAACGCAGCCTCAGACCTGGGACGTTCCGCACCCCCGACACACACCCTGGAAGGGGGCAACTGACCTGGAGGTGTGGGGTCTGGAGTGGGGTTTCCGTGCCGTTCCCTCCGCCCTCAGCAATCTCCTCCTAGGGAACTGAGCAGATGGATGTAGAGCTAGCAGGAGGTAATTTGCATTTAAAGAGAAAGTGACCTTCTTTAGCCGTTGGGATATGGAAGATGGGAGGAACCTACGACAGTTACTAGGCTGTCGCTCTCACTTGACGTTACCTTCCCAGCTGAGCTAAAGTGACTAACGTTGGTTGTGTGATGGCAATCTAAAAACCTCACTTTCCCATCAGTCTGGGGAGAAGCTACAGTCCCTTACAAAATGGTGGTGGTTTTGTCAGAAGGCCAGGGTGGGGAGATAGGGATGCGCGGCAGAAAATGTAAATAAGCATGTAAGATATATATAAGCATATTATATATATATATATATATATATATATATATATATATATATATATATGCCAGCAGCAGCAGGAAGAAACTGCAAGAGAAGACAACCGTCTATTGAGTCGAGATCCCCTATTAAGCACTTTATGTACATTTAATCCTCATAACAATCCTGCAGAACATACTGTCATCATCCCATTTGCTGAAAGTAAACTATATTTTGAGGGTAATATCACTCATCCCACGATATCCAGACACCGGTAAGCAGTGGGGGCTATGTTCAGCTCCTGAGGGAGCGATGGGACCAAGCCTCCTCCCTCCCCACGCCCAGGTCGAAGAGACACGTGTGGGGAGCATCAGGTCAGAGGGACATCAGTGCGATTACCTGGTGCTTGACCCCGGCCCCCAGGAGGGAAACCTGAGTGCCACATGGAGACTGACCCAGCACTGCCCATGCTGCCCGGGAGGTCAGATCAACGGAGCAGCTATTTAAAGACCTGGCAGAGGCTCCTAGCTCCGGTCCCCAGAGAACCATCTGATGCAACAGGGGACAGGCTTATCCTTGGCCGGGGTGCCCTGCAGTTTCAAATAGTTGCCCCAGGGCAACGTGCGCAGCACCTTGGACCCCTTTTCCTCCCATGGGCAAGAGCAGCTTCCCGGTACCTGGGCCTCCGGATAAGTTAGGGAGTGATGGGCTGTTTCCACAGGCACCCACGCAGGAATCTTTCCCAGGTGCTTCCAACACCCAGGCTGTTTCTGAAGGGAAGGCATTAATTCAGGACTTTTTCAATAATCAGGGGCTGGAAGGAGGGGTCTGCAAAGGCAGAGAGGACAACCTGTAAGCTGCTCTCTTCCAGTGCCTAGAGGGCCACCAGGGCTCTTCCAGGAAAGTGGTGGTGGGTGCAGGAGCCCCCCTAGGGTGAAGCTATCCTCAGAGATGCATGGCTTGGGAGTTTCAAGAGTTGGGGTGGCCTCCCTGGACTCCTTCCAAAGGATCTTTGACTGGGGTCAGCCCTGAAAGGTATCAACCTGTTTAGACCCTGATCAGAAGGAGCAGAGGCTCCAAGGAGACCATCACAGCCAGTGTAAACACAGCTGCTTGTGGACGCCTGGAGGGAAGGGCCCTTTACTTGTCTCTGCTGTTTGTTGGGCACTCATGTATCATCTTTTGTGCCAGGCCAACCCAGGCTCCAGAAAGAATAGGGTGCTGGTGCAGGAGCCCCAACTTTTGCACCTAGGCTTGGCAGGGTGAGCAGGAATGTCTAAAAAATCAGCCCATTCTTCAGAATTGCATGCAGAAAGTGGTCTTCTCAAGGAAGGTACAAAATCAAAGGAATTCACAGGTAGGACAATGCCAAAGGGTGCTTCCCATGGCAGACAGCCCTGAACAGCAGTGATCCAGGCATCTAATTTTGGGCCTCAATTAGCCTATGTCTAGGTTTCTGGTCTCCTTACCTTATACTTCCTCACAGATCTTCCTAATACTCTATTTGAACACCTTCAGTGGTTCCCCCTGTCCTTTGATCTAGCCCAGGTTCCTTAACCTGGCACATGGACTCCTGGTGCCCTCCTCCCCCTACCTCCTGTGCACCTGCATTTCTAGGTGAACTACTTTGCTACTAAATCAAGTTGTCAAACTTGCTCTTTGGGTCATAAGGCCCTTCCAGGTGTCCACCCCTAGCTCCTTGCTGAAGGAGACAGGGCTTCCTTCATGGTTCCACAGCACCACTGCTGTTTCTTTATCTAGAAGTATCTTCTGGGGGGCTCAGATGGTTAAGTGTCTGCCTTCAGCTCATGCCATGATCCTGGGGTCCTGGGATGGAGTCCCACATCGGACTCCTTGCTTGGCAGGAAGCCTGCTTCTCCCTCTGCCTACAGGTCCCCTTGCTTGTGCTGACAAATAAAATCTTAAAATTGGGGTGCCTGGGTGCCTCAGTGGGTTAAAGCCTCTGCCTTCGCCTCAGGTCATGACCCCAGGACCCTGGGATCAAGCCCCACATTGGGATCTCTGCTCCTCGGAGAGCCTGCTTTCTCCTCTCTCTGCCTACTTGTGATCTCTGTCAAATTAAATAAAGTCTTTAAATATTAACAATGATAAAAAAATAAAAGTATCTTTCTCCAGGGCACCTGCTGGCTCAGTCAGTAGAGCATGTGAATGTTTGATCTAGGTATAAATTCAAGCCCCACATTGGGTGCAGAGAATGAGACACGCAGGCACCCCACAGAGATCACTTAAAAAAATAAAAAAAGTATCTTTCTTTATCACTAGCCTGACCCTTCACGGGGCAGGGCCAACTTTTCATTGAATGAAAGAAATCTGATGCTTCTATGTATATGAGCATAATGCCAACTTTGCCAAGGGCTCTGCTCAGGCAGTTCCAATGAATTGGTGTGACTTGGCAGCTGGGGGGGGGGGCACTCTGGAAGATGCCTGATACAGCACGGCCAAAAGCACCGGAGCGGATCCAGATGAGTCAGTGATGGCCAGATGGATCCAGAAGCACCAAATGACCACAGAGGTCAGGACAGAAACCAGTAAGGCAACAGACTCTTTATTTAATGTGGTTTAAAATACATCAAAATCAAGTCCCTGGCTGTTTGTTGTGAATACCAAAAAGAGACCAAAAAAAAAAAAAAAAAAAAAAAAAAAAAAAAAAAAAAGCTGTCAGCACAGCTTTAAAACAAACCTGGGTGGCCAGGTTGGGCCATATGGGAAGCAGTTACAGGGACAGAAGGCAGCACCCCTCCCCCAGGCAGGTGCCTGGCTGTCCCTGGGGTGACCGCCTCTGTGCTGCTCAGCTGGGGGGGCTGGGGCAGCAGCTGGAGTCAGCTCAGCAGGCTTTGGCCCTCCCCCCCAGCCACTAGGGCAGTTCCACTGGCCTCTGGGTCAGCCCTCAGCAGGGCCACTGTGATGGGAGCGGTGGAGTGGAAATCACTATCTTCACAGACAGAACATTCTCTTACAGAAAGTGCCTGAGCTCAGCCCATAGTCCAAAAACCTCATGGAAAACAAAATTAAAACGAAGTGCGGCCGATACCTCTCAAGAATCTGGTGTATGTGAGGCTCTCAGCTGGGCAAGGTCCAGAACACAAATTACAGTCAGCAGGGCCAAGGGCTCTGGGCGGTGAGCCTCACCAGCAATGGTCCCCTGGAAGAAGCGCGAGCAATCTTAAGAATCCAACACAGCTCTTGGTCCTAAAACTGAGGTCATGTGCATGGGACCTGCCCTGGAAAGGAAGGCATTGGCCTTCATCCAGTTAGGCCACCTTCCCTGCATGGGGCCCAAGCTCATGGCTGGCGAGGGCAGCGCCCAGGCACCTGGGCGGACTTTGGAAAGCAGAACAAGCAGAGCAGCTGTAGTGATTAGTGTGTTTTGGTCAATGGAGAGAAGAGGGACAGAAAGAGGGAAAATGGGATCCTCATCCGTAGGCTGACCCGGACACCTAAACATGGCTGGAGCTAAAAGCAAAGGTTCTACTTGCCCAGGGCGTGGATACGGGATCCAGGAAGCCTGGCTGGGCCACCTTGCTCACTACAGCCCCACAGTAACTAGACCGGTTCTCTGGGGGTGGCTGTGCCGTACAGCTGGGACCCCCCCCCCACCGCCACACTGGGCTCCCACAGCCAGCCCCTCAACCCCATGGGCTCTATGAGGTAGCTGAAGCAAGGCAATCGCACGGGCTACACTGCAGGACTCCTGCTCTTTCAGCCAGACAGGCAGAAGCTTGCTCTTCCCTGCGCTTCCAGAGCCCAGCAAACCCTGCACGGGGCTGGCAGTTCTTGTGTGTCTCAGACTGACACGGGGCTGGGAGGGTGGGGCGAGGAAGGCCTTACTGGGCAAGGAAAAGGCAGGTCCAGGGACCACTCCAGAGGGCAAGATCTTAGGGAAACACTTCTCCACAGGAGAGCAGGATATACCAGGGACTAGCGGGAAATACTCAGAGGCCAATCGATGGTAGCTGCCATGGGGGCAGCGGAACAATGGTGTGCCATGGTGTGCCGTTCATTTGCCATCTCTGGTCTAAGTTGTAACATGTTTCAGGAGCCCTTTGCACTCTTCGTGAACCTGTTTATGGGAGGGACAGAAGTGAAAGGCATGGAGAGCCAGCTGGGAATTGAAGATGAAGGGACCTGCAGGACACTGAACTAGCTTCAAGGAAATTCAGCAAGAAACAAAAGCTCCCCCATGTTGTGCCTCCTGGTCCGTGGCTCCCTCAGCTACACTGAAGCCAAGGCCCAGGTAGAGGTGGGGTGTAGTACCTCAAGCCCAGCTGAGCCCAGCTTCCCAACCCATGCCTCCTTCTGTTGTTCCAGAAAACTCTTCCGTACAGACTGGTGAATACCCCGGCAAGTATGCAACCAGTAGAACCTTCAGGCCAAAGTACCAAGTACTGGGGTGTGAGGGGGCCACCAGACGCAAACATGTCAGCCATTCTGTGGATTTCTGAGGCTCATCAATCGTCAAGTCTCACACTGTCCCTCAAGGTGTCAGACAAGAGCTGGGGGCTCCCACACATGAAGTGAGATGTCAAGGCCATACTTCAGCTTATTCCTTAGGCAATGGAACCAGGGCAAATCTCAAGGATTGCACATTAAAGGTGGGGTCAGAAGCGGAAACAGAGTCCTAAAAGCCAAAGGGACAGTTGGGCACAGGGCCCAGCAACTGCTGCATGGAGACAGCGGTGATGGGCATCAGCAATGGCCTCCCAGGACTGAAACACACAGGCAAGCTTGTGGTAAAACCACCAGAGGCCCTTCCCTTCCTCCTAACCGCAATCCGATTTCACCAGACAGGAAAGCTCAGCACCAACGTGGCAAAGACCAGGTGGGGCGGTGAGGCTAGGGTGCACTGGAAGCCAACTGTGCCAGCAACCCTCCTCCTTCCTCAGATAAATACACACACTGTCATGTGCAAAACAAACAAAAAACACAAAAAAACAGAAACCTTCAGAAAGCATCCTTTGGGTGGTCTCGTCATTTGTGCAGGCTAGAGAGGCACCTGTGAATGATAAGGCTACTGAGAAGCATTGCCGGCCTGGTCCTGGCACCACCTGAGGGCTCCCTAACCGTGTACCAGCCCACAGCCACTTTCTCCAGGTCCCCCATCCAGAGCAGGACAGCAGTTGGATCCCCAGCTCTGCGGGCCCTGCCCAGGGACCCCCTTCTCCAGGTTGAGAGAAGTAAAGGAGCCTCCAGGGCAGAGGCTCTAGGAGAGCCAGAGTTGCCCAAGCCCTGCTAATGGGGGAAACGCAGTCAAGGCCCAAGTGTGTCACTTGTCACAAGCCCTGAAGGGCAGAAGCGGGGGGGTAGTGTCTGAGCCTCAATCAGGCAGGGGAAGGCTCAAGTCACTTGTCCTGCCAGCTCACTGGGACAGCAGCTACAAATGGCAGCTCCTCTTTGAGACTCTTCAGCTCAGAGAAGAGCCAGTGACTTGACCCGTACACACCCCCACCTCCAGTGGAAGCCCATGTTCCGCAGAGAGAGAGGAATGTAGGAGGCCTTGCACATATGCCAAATGTATGTAAAACTGACCCACAGAATCCAAAACTGCAGAGTGTCAGATGTCAGCCAGGTCGGAGCACCCTGGGCCTCAGCACCGGACTGCTGAGCGATGGGAGCCCTGCCTGGGCTAGGCCTGGCTGGGCCGTTCGCTCCCCTCCCAGCACGCCCCCCGTGCCAGGTTTCCTAGGCGGTGGGGGAGGTGGGCTCCTGGGGCCCCACTTGGCCAGGTGTTTCTGTGCTCGCTGCTCCTGGGCAGCAAGGAGCTTCTGAGACCCTTGGGGAGCTCGGTGACTGGGCCCCAGGACCCTCACAACCCTGCTCCCTGGAGGCAGTTGTGGCTTCTGGTCTTCGCTCAGGGCCGCTGTCAGGGAGGGAGCCCTGGCCACCAGCACTCAGGTCCTGTACCCTTTTGTTCAGGTCGTTGCGCTCTGTCTGCAGTGCCCGGCACAATTTCTCCAGCCGCTGGATTTTCACCTGTAGGCCCTCCAGCTCTTTGTCCCGGAGTGTTTTCTAGGGAAAGAAATGGGGCCAGAGTCATGTGGTAGAAAACATTCACACCTGAATGACACCAGGGGCAGATCAGAGCCCAAAGCTGGTCCCTTCCTAGAGAAACAGCCATGATGTGTGCCAAGGCCTGCTGCTGGCAGGGGGTGCTGCAGTGCAGAGAAGGGGTGGCTTGAAGACAACGTATTTCTCCATTTATCCACCAGATGACACAAAGTCCAACCTGGCTTTTGGAGCCTATTTCCTTATCTGTTAAAATGGGCTATGAGGGCACCTGGGTGCGTCAGTTGGTTAAGCATCCAACTCTTGATCTGGGCTCAGGTCAGGATCTCAGGGTTGCAAGATGGAGCCCGTCAGGTTCTGTGCTCAGCAAGGAGCCTGCCTGAGAGTCTCTCCTCTCCCCTCTGCTCACACATGTGCCTGCACACACTGTCTCTTTCTCTCAAATAAATAAATCTTTTTTTTTTTTAAGGTTTTATTTATTTGAGAGTGCATGCACGTGTGCACAAGGGTGGGGTGGGGGGAGAGGGACAGAGAGAAAAGCAAACACCCCGCTGAGTGGGGAGCTCAACTTGGGGCGATCCCAGGACCCTGAGACGATGACCTGAGCCGAAGTCAGATGTCAGATGCTTTACCAACTGAGCCACCCAGGTGCCCCTAGACAAATAAATCTTAAAAAAAAAAAAAAAAAAAAAGGGGGGGGGGGACTGCTGACATCAACTTCACAGATCTTGAGAAGGTTCAATGAACTGGCATTATGTAAGAAAGTCAGAAGGGTCTATCTAGTATATAGTAGCTACTCCAGCAATTAATGCCTTTCGTCTGTATCTCAGACCATGAAATCAAATTACCTAAGCTACTCTGCATATGAATGGTATGCATCACTGGTACCCCTTGGTTTTTTGGTTCTTGAATTTCCCATTTGTTCTCTTTGCTTCTACTGCAGACCTACCACTGGGCTCACCATCTCCCATGGGGCAATAGTTGGTGATGCCTTTGGACCTGGACAGATAAGACACGAGTCCCAGCTCCATCTCATGCCAGCTGCATGACTTACTGGTAGAATGTAGAGGGGAGGGCCCAACACTCAAAAACTGCAACCCCGTCCGCCACCTCTCCCCCCAGCTGCACAGCACACTCAGCCTACCTCCTCAGCCATCTCAAGCAGGGCCTTGTTGCTGCTCTCCCATCGAGACCGGTACATGGTAGTTTCTTTCTCCAGCTTCTTGATCTTCTTAGTCATCTGGGTTATGGGACAGACAGAAGGAAATGGTCAGGCGGCCAGACCATCTGTGTATCCAAGATGGGGAGCAGTCCTAAGGGGGCAAGGTATTACAGTGCCTCCGGTGCAACCGCAGGACATCGCAAGGTAGATGCCACCACCACCAACAGGGAATGACAAGGCTGCCCCTTCTCTAGGACAACGTGGAGGACGCATAGGTCAGTGATTCTTCCTTCAGAGGCGGGGTGAGGCTCTGATCCCTCCTTACAGGCCATCCTTGGTATCAATCACAGTTCGTGGAAACAGCTCCCTAGGAGGTACCCCAGGGGCGGGATCTTCCCCTGCAGCCACACCCAGCCCGGACACTGTTACCTTCTCCATCTCCTGTTTGAATGTGGTGAACACCTCACTGCTTTTGGAAAGAGTGTTCTGGAATTCCTCAAACTTCTCTGTGTACAGGGCCAGCTGGGTGAGGAAGAAGCCCAGAGATAAGATTAGGCCTCTCTGGAGGGCACTTCTGGTTAGCACAGTCAGACCCATCCATGGACTATTGAGATGCCATTTTTCTTTCTTTTTTTAAACAATTATATTTCTTTCACAAAGAGAGTGAGAGAGCACAAGCAGGGGAGTAGGAGGCAGAGGGAGAGGGAGAAGCAGGCTCCCTATTCAGCAGGGCGCCTGACTCGGGGCTCGATCCCAGGACCCTGGGATCATGACCTGGGCCAAAGGCAGACGCTTAACTGACTGAGCCACCCAGGCGCCCTAAATACCATTTTTCTTTAAAACAAAACAGTAACTATGTGTTTGGAAGGACAGAATCCAAAATGTTAAGCTTAGAAAGCAGGATTTGGGATGACTTATATTTTGCCTCTGTATGTGTTTTCAAACTTTTCTTCTAAAATTAAGTACAATTAATGTAATTAAAAACAGCCGTTCCATCCCTGCCTCCTCAAAAGCTGCACGACACTTGCAACTAGGAACAAAGTCCTTCAAGCTCACCTAGCCACCTGGTCACCACCACAGCAGCTGGGCGGGTCCAGAGAGAACAAAGGCTCAGCAAGGTCACACAGCAGTCAAGGTGGTCCTAGAATGAGGGTCCCCATTTCCCTCCCCCAGGATGGGTCCCAGCAAGCAGACCTCAGAGGCACAGGGTCAGGACCCACTCTGTCTCACCTGCTGCTTCAGGTGGGTCTCCTGCTGCTTCATCAGCTCGCACATCCTCTGGGACTCCACTGCCTCTTTGAGGAGCTATTTCCAAGACAGGACCCCAGATCCTGTCAGAAGCCCCTGAGGGGCTGTTTGGCCTTTTTTAGCCGTATGCCCCAGGACCCACTAAAGTGTCCTGCTCTCTGACTGAAGGAGCGCCCTGCTCTGGCCAGGAACCAACCCCTCCCTGACAAACCTATGAGCTGTGCCAGAACCCAACCCACCTATTCCCAGACGCCCCACCCTCAGGGCCCGAGCCTCACAAAATCCTTCTCCCGCTGGTGCCTCTCCTCTGCCTCCTTCAGCATCTCCTGGGCCTGCTGGAGCTTGGCGTCCACCAGCTGCTGCTGCAGGTCCTTGTGTTTGAAGACTTTGTCGATATGCTGCAGCAAAGCATGGTGGGAGGGCCACCTGTCAGCAGCTCCCTTTTGCAGGGAGGTCTGGGAGCTGCAGGGACGACCCATCTGCAGAGACCCAGGTCCCCTACCCAGCCTCCCATCTCATTCTGACATGCTGGACTCCGCGTGTTCCACAGCACGTGGGCCCCACGTCTCTGGAAGGTCCACTTCCCAACCTCACCTTGTTTCTCTCCAGTCAGTCCTGGGTGTGCCAAGGGATGAAATCGGCTCCCAGAAAGCCAAGTAATAAATACATTCAAACCTCCGACCCCAGTAGATCACTCTGCGGGACTAACAACCCTCACTTTTGGAGCCCAACTCCCTCGTAAATGGGAAGAAAGGACAAAAACGACACCTGCACCAACACAACAACTTAGCCCCATCGGCAAAGATCTGCCCCATCTAGAGACCAAGACTAGACGTGCGAATTTCAAGGCAGTCCTAACTGCTGGAGGGGCCCTGGGAGCCAGAAGGAATGGGGAGGAGGTGGTGGACTCAGGGTGGCTTCAAAGGTCAAAGCAGCCGAGAAAAGGCACGTGGAGACTTCACCTACATTCTGGATAGCAAAGGAAAGGTGGCCAGAGTGAGTGTTGGCCGGACGGGGCTCCTCACCTCCTCCCGCAGCTCGTACTGCTCGATCAGCTTCTTGAGCCTCTCCGCCAGCTCCATGTTCTCCTGGCGCAGCTTGGAGTTGCGTTCGTTGTGCTGTTCCATCTGCAGCTGAATGTCATTCAGCGTCACCTGGAAGTGTGAGGTCACCTCCTTGCGCTTCTCCTCTTCCTCCCGGGCCCGCTGCACGCCTTCTTCCTGGGCAGAGAAGTCAGCCCTGGCTTCATCACCTGCAGCTCCCCAGTCAGCCAGGGTCTGTACCGACAACCCTCCCTGCTCTCAGAGTGAGGAGCAGCCAGGTTCCAAGATGTCACGCAATACGGGCCCCCAACGGACCCGGTGTCTATCAGGGAGAGATTCTCTCCCTAGAAAGATGCAGACGTACGCTTAAGTGCCATTCTAGAGGAACCTGGATCGCCCCAAGCCCATTCGTTCAGACATCAGGTTAAGCAGTCTTGTTTCTGTGCTTTCATTTCTCACCTCTCCCCATCCACTCCCAACTAGTTAAAATCCAGTAGCGGCCAGGTCGGTAAGACTATGCAGAATTAGGCATGCAGACACTACTGGTGGGAAAGCAATGTGGCACAATCTATGAAAATTTACAACGTAAATTTCACTTCTGAGGTTTATCCTACAGGTACATTGTGTACACTGAGCCGGGGATATATAGGAGAACTTCCACTGTAGCTCTATGGATGCAGGAGTGTAAACTTAGAAACCACCCAGCAATTCCTTCACTAGGGCACTGATAAAATAAGGTATGTGAAATCAACGACGCTGTCAAACAGAATGAGACAGCCCTAACTAAACTGAGGGGAAAGACAGCTAGGCATTCTGGGAGTGAGAAGCCGGGACAGGATGTAAAACGATACACAGACGGTGGTTCCGTTTAGAGGACCCTGTGGAGAATCACGGACAGACACAGGTAAGTCTGTAGGCTGCACTTAACTCACGTGTAAGAAGGTGTATTTCTAGTGGTTTCTGCTGGACACTGGGATTGAGGAGGGTGGGCAACTGTCACTTTTGATCTGCTATACTTTCGTCACCTTTGAATCCCTCATACCTTGTTTATAGTAAAGTTGAAATTTGTCAAAGACCAACTAAAAATGAGCAAAATGCGTGGCAAAATACCATATATTTGTTGACCCAAATATGTAGAAAATAAAGGATCCAGAGGTCATAGCAGTGACTGGGAATTAACCAAACTGACCCCCACCCAGGAGAAGAGAAAAGACCCAGCATTCCAGACCAGGGCCGGGAGAGGAGCCACCCACCAGCTTTCTCAACAATGCGGAAGCCCTGCCTCCGGGGCTCCCTTTGCACCTCAGTCCTCACCTTACCTGAAACAAGTATGGGGCAAGTGGTAACAAGCAGCTGCCTCCAAGGTAGGGTGATCCTGGGGACATCTACATCTCTGCCAAAAGCCCACCAAAGAAAAGTGGAAGTCAAGGGAAGCCACGTGGCAGAAGCCAGCCCACCTTGAGGGAGCGGTTGTGGCGCTGCAGCTCACGACACAGGCTCTCCAACTTGCTGCGGGCCAGCACGGCCTTGCTGTGCTCCCCGCGCAGGTGGTCCTTCTCCTGCACCAGCTGGCTCTGCTTCTTCTGCAGCAGCTTCATCTGCTTCTGCGAGTTCCGATGCTCCTCCAGCTGAGGACGGGGAACTCGAGTAAGTGCTGCGCCGCGCTCTTCCTCAGGGACCCTTGCCCTCTCCCAACTCCAGCTGTCGACAGCCCCCACTGGACACTGTGCGGGTGCTTTACACACTTCTCTGATAACCCAAGGGCCCCAGTGCAAGGATACAGAAATGGGCACTTGGGACAAGCAGGGGTGCAGAGGCTGCAGGCCCCAGCTTCTCTGTGCTCTGACTCCAGAGACAAAGTTCGCAAGGCTCTCAACTCTTGGGACACTCATGCCCTACGAGGAGACCCCCTACCACCCCTTCTTGTACTCAACAGACCCCCATCACTCTTACTTGCTGCTCCAAGACTCAGCATCATTTCTCTCCTCAATGTGATTGCTGTTAACATTCTCGTCTTTTCATTACGGTTAGATCTTAAACTTCTCCTCAGACCCTGCCCTCTCCTCCAGATCAGCTACCGTCCCGCAAGCCCATTCAACATGGATACAGTGTTACTCAATGATGTAATGACAGCTCTTCCAGAGGCCACATTAAAAAGGTAGAAAGTAGATGAAATTGACACTAGTAAAATATTTACTTAATCTAATATCTGAATATTATAATATTCCATCTGAAATCCATGTAAAAACTTTTGAGTATTTTATTCTTTCCCTTTCCTTAGGTATCTGAAATCCCATGTGCACCCTAGGCTCAGAGCACATCCAAATCCAGACTACCCACATACATTGCAGCTGACTAGTGGTTACAAATATCCTGGACAGTCAGACCCAGATTTTGTCATTACCCAGAAGGACACACACCTCCATTATCTCATCCCAGGGCAGGACCACTATCAACTGTCATTCTCGCTCCTTCCCTCCAGTATCTGTGGTCCCAGAAAGTCTACCATATTGGACCTCCAGCCCAATGACCATCCTTTTGCTTTCCTTAAACTCTCTTTTAAATAATCACTGATCTTCTTACCTGTCTTAGATTTCTTACACCCTTAGCTCTCTTGCCCCTTATGCCCCTTTCTACCAACAAAACTCCAACCCTGATATACCAGCCTTATGATTCCTCTGACCAGCACTGAAGCAGACTTGCCTGAAGCATCTCACTTTAAGTTCATGACCACCCCTCTGGGGCAGACCCTTGTCTGCCACGTGGCCCAACTATATTCCTTATGTTATTCACACTCCTCTTCCAGAGAACTATTTCGTCCCTTGTCCTCCTCCACTTCAACTCTCCTCTCTCCCAGCAACAACTATCTTTCTCATTTCTCTGAGAATGGAAGCAACCAGAGGCACAGGGGCACAAGCTCCGCCTCTGCCCAACCACCTCCACCTGCAGTCACCAGGACCCAGCCGTGCTTCCTACCACAGCCCATCCTCCTGCTCAGGCCCCTACCTCATCATCTACTTAAGAATATCACTCTGGAGACTCAGCTCCTCCTCTCTTCATCAGTCTTTCCCTGGCTGGCTCATTCTGAAGGGGTGGTATCTTTTTCACATCCTGTCCTTTATTTAATCATTTATAATAACCCCATCAGGCAGGTATGATTTCCCCAATTTTACAAATGACAAAAATTCCCTATAGGAGAACTCCAGCTAATACATGTGAATGGAGTGAAAGAAGTTAAAAATAAGGGGCGCCTGGGTGGCTCAGTGGGTTAGAGCCTCTGCCTTCGGCTCAGGTCATGATCTCGGGGTCCTCGGATCGAGTCCCGCAACGGGCTCTTTGCTCTGCGGGGAGTCTGCTTCCCTCTCTCTCTGCCTGCCTCTCTGCCTACTTGTGATCTCTCTCTGTCAAATAAATAAATGAAATCTTAAAAAAAAAAAAAAAAAAAAAAAAGAACTTAAAAATAAGTAGTCAGGAAATGACCCTCAGTGGAGAAACACATTCATTCAAATTCTGATGGCAACCTGACAAGGGAGGAACCTGGCTGGTCCCACCTGAACCCAGTGGACAATCTTCCGTAACTAAAAGCGGGAGGAGCACACTGTATTTCTCCACAGAGTACCACTTACGAGAAGTTCTTATCAAAAGAGATGAACTTGGATTGGATCAAGTTTCTAGAACTAATTTCCACTTTATCCACAGGAATCAAGGAGGTAAAAGAATAAGTTCAATACCACAAGCGAGAAAGTGAGGCATCCTACAGGATAACTCATCTGCAGTAAGTCAATGTCATGAGAAAAAAGTTAGCAGTAAGATAAAGACTGTTTTGTTGGAGTAAAAGGAAAAAATGTTGTAAGGACCCAATGCATTAAAAGGACTTCCTCTAGACCCTGATGTGACCAAACTGACACTTTAAACAACCGGGGAGAGGTGTGTATTAGAGAGTATCACATGATCAGCACCAATCATAAGTATGAGGACGGCGCTGTGCATTTCCACGTTTTGGGGAGATGCACACTGAAGCACACAGGTGTGAGATGACGTGGTATCTGGGACTGGGGCCAGGAGCAGGGTTCTACCACTGGAATGTGAAGGGTCTCTTTTTATAGTTGGCCTGGAAGAGACCAGCTGGGACCTGACTCCCCAAGTGACAGACGGGGAAAAGGCTGAGAGAGAGGCTGAACAGTAAGTAAGCCACCCACCTGCCCCTGCACCCTCAACCCCATGCCAGGTGGCCTGCTGACTTTCCGAGGCAGGGCGGGTGCAAGGAGAAGGGGGAGAACTGACCAGTTCAGCATACTTCTTGCACAGAGCTGCCAGCTTCTCCTCTGGAGTGCTCAGCGTGTTCAATGTCTGCATCAGCAAGGTGATCTCCTTCCCTGCAAAGCACAGGGAGCAAAAGCATGTACCCCCTTCTCTGGGGAATCTCCCCAGGCCTCGGCCCCCACTCTTAGGCCCTGAGGCAGCCCTCCACCACTATACTTGATCTTGTTTGTTGAACTGGCTGTCATCCTGTCAAACCATGTGCTTCATGAGAGTGGCCACCAACTTGCTTCTGACTACTGCTGTGGCCCCAGTGCCGCCCAGTACTGTCCCTAGTGTCCACTGCAGAGGACGTGCTCAACAAACCCTTGACAGACAAATGACTCAGACTATGTGGACACTCCGTGGTGAACACTGGGGGTAGGTGAAAAAAACTGCCTGCTCTACCAGCTGGAGAAAAAAAGACATCCCATTGGCCAATTAAGTGCTACTGTGTCGATGCAAGGAAGGCCCTTCTGAAAGAGGACAGATGCAAAAAAGGAACAGGTCTCACTGGGAAGGACTAAACTCTTGTCAAGAGAGGCAGCCAAACAGTGAACTTTATTTATTTGTTCTCTCCCAAACACTTAACTTTAAAATGACTAAACCTTCCAATATTTGATCCCAAGATTAAGAAACAAAACAAAAAAACAAACACAAAACCCTCTTCCAATTAGAATGACCAGCAGAGGGTGCGGAAGTAACGACTAAGACATGGGTATAATATCACTTAACTTTGAATCTTTAACACTCACACCAGGGCTCTCCCCCACCCCCAATAACTTTCTCTATCTGTGCCTTAGTCAAGGGCTCTTCCTTCTGTCTCCCTGGAGGGCTGCTGTACATAGTACAGCACCAAGCTCCTCAAGTGTCAACCCCAAGAGGCTCGAAAGATCAGTGTGGAGATTGAAAGCACCAGCACACAGGCCAGATCCAACCCCACACGTAGGTCTGTTTGGCTCCTAGCATGTTAGTTGCCAACTGTTAAAAATCCAGAGAGATTTTATGTAACTCTGCATAAAAGAAAGAAAGGGGGAAAAAAAAAAGGCTGGCTACACTTAGCCTGTAGTGTTACATGCTATCAGCATGCTGGGACCAGATGGCAATCACCCCTTTGGATGAAGAAGGCCCCGTCTTGTCCATATAGGGTCCCCTGTCTAATCTGGCTTGAGTCTTCAACCCTGGTCTAGTCCAAATCTAACTGTAGAGAAGTGAAAACTAAGGACCAGAAAGGAGAAAGGTCTTTCCCAAGTTCACAGAGCAGGTTAAAAAAAGTGCTGGCTGACACAGGAGCCCACTTAGGCCCCCTGCTCTCCCATTTTTTCAAAGATGGATCAGGCTAGATTCCGGTTCCCGTCCACTCCCAAGGCCAGAAGCCGCCGTGCAGTGAACAACCTACGTTCTCCGAGCCCACAACCCTGGCTTGGACCAAACTAATGTGACCTGCTGCTCTGAAGAGTAGTTTCCTCTGAATCCTGGCAGAGCAGGTTAGCCCAAGGAATGTCAGGTCCAAACTCCCCTGCCTCACCAGCCTCGCCAGTAGCTGCCCTCTGCTCACCCAGACCCTTGGCTTTCTTCTTCTCCTGCGGCCTTCGGTGATCTCGGTCTCCAACCTCCTCACTTGCCCGGATCTCATCTGTGCCTGGCTCCCCCTTGGAGGTCTCCTTCTCACCATTGACTACCGGAGTCTCTGGCTCAGGCTCCCCATTTCGCGAAGCATAGGTCCGGGACTTGTCTGCATCTTCGGGCTCAGCAGGCTCACCCTGTGCCCCATCCTCACCTGGGCCCCCCTGATTGTTGTCCACACAGTATGTACTCAGAATGTCTTCCAACTGGCGGCTCAGCTCCTCAGAGACATCACGGAGAGCCCCAGACTGAGCAGTTTTGGCCTGTGCTCCTACAGCAGGGCAGGATGAGGGGCAGAAGGAGAAACAAGATGGTTATTCCATTGGCTGGGATTTTCTAGGCCCGAACTTACTCGTTCGGGTTAAATGCTGCCTACCTTCTTTAAGCCTCAGTTCATTCACCTATAAAAATGATATAATTATTTCCCACGACTGCCCACCACTTCTGTCGTGTGTGTGAAAGATATCAAGGAAATAAAACATCCAGCACATAGGGATGGCTTGTACCTGCAGTTCAACATCTAGCCCATCCCCTCCTCCTCCCCGCAAAAATCATTTCTGGCTATTAAAAAAGTTCCAGGAAAGCCTCTGATGTGAAGAGCAATTACCCACGGTGAATGAGGCTTTCTAACCTGGGCTGGCAAGTTGAGTGTCTCATTTGACTACCACCTCATTTAACCCGGTAAGAGCTTTCCTTCAAGACTTCCTTCCTGTGCTTAGAATGGGCGGCCCTATCAACACCCCCCACCCCGGGAAACGGGGATCGAGGGGTGGCACACACTCAGCGCGGTCCTCCTCTCATCCTACGGTTCCTCCTTCCTTGGTAAACAGCGGCAGAAGCCTCTAACTCCAGAAGCCACCCAGGCACACCGCAAACTCCTCCCCCTGCCCGCTGGAAAGCAGAGCTGGCACACACCCTCAGTCTTCCCGGGAGCCTGGCTGGAGGAACCTTCGGCTTCTGTGGCAGGAGCCGGCTGGCTGGGCCGCCCCTGGGTTCCCTCTGGTCCTGCTTCCGCTTGCCCCGGGTTGCTTTTTGGGTTGGAAGAGTTGCCCGACTGCTTGGCAGTCCCATTCTTTTTGTCTTGGTTCTTCATTGTGGTCCGCAACGCTAGGCTGGGAGCAGGTCCTATAGAGACACAAGCACACTCGCTATTTTCCGGACTTCGAAATTCTTCACAGCTTGGAGCCGAAATCCCAATACCGGGTGCACAGAGCTTCTCAGAACACACTGGCCGGCCTTCACCGGAGGGAGCCAACAACGGTTCCGTCTCTGGCCGGTCAGGGAAGAACGGCGCGCCCAGGCAGGTTTTCGGGCGCCGCTCCAGAAGCCGGGCAGGCAAGGCCTCCCTTTTCTCCAAGCCGCTTCCCGGCACTACAAGGCCCCCTCACCACAGGCAGAGCGCGGGATAGGCTCAGGGACGGAGACTGACGTGGCGAGACGCTCGACTCTCATCCCTCCCCCTGCCCCCAGGCCCCACGTGGGCCCCCCCACCTGCGCGCGCTGCCACCCACGCCCCGCGCGCCCTCCAGCCTCGCGCACCGCCCGCCCGCGCATGCGCACAGGCCCCAGCTCTGCCCCCCCATCCCCGGTCCCCCCCACCCCGGCCCGCGCCCTTGCGCGGAATCGCCGTGATTCTCTCCACTGGCCGAGAGCGTTCAGGCCCACAGACATTCTGATCACCTCGTCCGCCCACCCTTCGGGACACGCACCTCACCGCCGACCTCCCTACAGCTTCGCCCGCTCTGGCCTCGCACCGGAAACCCTGGGTAACCGCTGCCTGCCGAGCCGCCTGCTCCTGCTGCAGCCAATCAATAGCCGGCGCTCTCGCGGGGCTTGCTGGGAAAGATGAAGCGAAGGCGGCCTCTCAGGCGGGTGAGTTAGGAAAGCGGGGGAGGGAAAGGACTACACCTCCCGGCATGCATCGGGGCTGACACCCCCGCCCCCAACTCCCAAGGTGCAATAGAAAGGACTTTAGTTCTGAGAGCCGGATACCCACAGGAGGTCTGAAAGAAGGTAGTCATTCTGCACAAATGCTCGAGTTCATCTCGTTCCTATCATCCGTAACTTATGATTTGGGTCCAAAGCCCTGCGACTGGCTGTTCTCTCCTGCACGCCCCTACGTCTATGACTAGGAACTCTTGAGGACAAGGGATAGAATATTGGGCTGGGAATGAATTCCAGTCCTAGCCTCATTGCTAATTTGCTGTGTGACCGGGCATTCTTTTCTCTCCTCAGGCCTCATTTTCCGTATTCAGATGAAAACTTCATATCAATAGTAGTTCTTTGAGCACCAACAGTGGGCTTTCCCATCTACTAGCTTAACCCTCGTAACTGCTTATGAAGATTAGTACTATTTGTCATTCCCATTTGCATCTGAGGACACTTAAGTCAAAAGTTACTTGTCCCATCACTATTGAGTGGTAATGAGCAGGGATTCAAAACCAGGAAGTCTGGCATAGTACCCATTTTAACTCCTGGACTACCGTGCCTCATACCCAGAAGAAATGGTAATTTGGCTAAATTATTTACACCTCCCCCCCCCCCCATATTACCACCCTGAATCCTTCTTTGGAAGGGGCTGAGGGAGCTCTGCAAGAAGTTTGGCCTCAGCAGATTCCTGAGCTTTTTTTCTGACTGACCCACCCTCTACAGTCAAATTCCAAGTTGTACTGGGGCTAAAGACGGAAAACCCAAACTCTCTCCAAATGTGGTATCACAGTTCTTTACTCAGCTGCCTACGGATAATGGAATAATAGCCAACAACCCATGTGCCTGAAATTCAATGTGTAAATGGTTTGGCTTGTTTCCAGCCAATCCTGCCCATGCCCTCTTTTTTGTTCCCACTATACGTTTATTATTTTCAGGATTTCCCAGTTTTTTACAGGTGCTATTCCAGCTTCCAAAATGCCCTAACAAAAACAGTATTTCGAGGTCCAGCACAAAGGTCACTTCAGAGCCTTCCTAGTGCTCAGCAGTCTGTCCCAGTTCCCTAGGTCTGGATAGAGCTCTGCAACAGCATTAGTAATGAGATGTTGAAATCATTTGCTTACAAGTCAATGAACATTACAAGAACTATTGGCTAAATTGTAGTTCTAAAGCCTAGCATCAGTCCGGGGCAGTGAAGGAAATTGTGCAAATCGAGCACTTTTTCGGATCTCCTAAGGATGATCAGTATCTTCCCCAGTTAGACTTAAGGATAGTGCTCTTCCCCAACCCTTAGTCTGTTTACCAGGTAACCTTGAAAATCTGGTATTAAGAGTACAAAGATGGGACTCAAGCCAGAAATGTTTGGAATCCAGGTGTCTCCAGAACTAAGGCCCTGATTATTTCCAGAAAAACATGTTGGAAATCTCTTGAGGTAACATACAGATCAGGCCTTGATGGCTTCCCATTTTAAGAGGGTGTTCTAGGCAGAGATAAATATAGTAAGAACAAGGCCTTTGTGGGGTAAGGGGGTGGAATGGTATAGCTAGAAGGATCAACAGTGGCCTACAGGGGCTACAGGGGCATGGCAGATAAAATTTGAGAAACATGGGTTAAAGGTAAAAGAAAATCGCAACAATATTAACATTTTCTAGTCAGTTGGGGAGATCATTGGGAAGGGTGGGGATTGTGGTAAAATAGAGCTCTCTTGCAGATTGTTTTCAAGCAGAAACTTAGGTCCAGTAATGTCAGAAATTTTTCAAGTTAGATCTTTTAAAAAATGTTGGCAATTAATTAATACTTTATCAGCCAGCCCAAACCTTCCTTTTAGATTAAACCACCTTTTGGCTGGTTGTTTGTAATCTCTTGATTTAGGAATTGACCTAAATGGTCAATTAGGAATATGACCCCAGTGGCTGAAAGGGCTGTAACTGAAACTGATAAAATGATGTCAAAATCCTGCAGAGATACTCTAGAAAATGCAAACTAAACAATGTGACAGAACATGTATCAGTGGATGCTGGGGGTTTGGAGGGAAGGAGGGACTCCACAGGGACACGTAAAAACTTCTGGAAGTGGTGGTTATGTTCACTATCTTGACTGTCATGATGGTTTCATGAGTGGATATGTCAAAACTTACGAAACTGTACATTTTAAATATGTGCCATTTACTGTATCTCAATTATATTTCAATAAAGCAGAGTAAAAAAAATTCTTGGGGTGCCTGAGAGGCTCAGTTAGCGAAGCGTCCAACTCTTGAGCTCAGCTCAGGTCTTGATCTTAGGATTGTGAGTTTGAGCCCTGTGTTGTGGTGGAGCCTACTTAAAAGAAATTCTTGGGCTGCCTGGATGGCTCAGTTGGCTAAGCATCTGTGTTTGACTCAGGTCATGATCTCAAGGTCTTGGGAGCAGCCAGGTGTTGAGCTCCCTGCTCATTGGGGAGTCTGCTTCTGTCCTTCCCCACAAGCTCATTTGCACACTCTGGCTCTTAAATGAGTAAATAAAATGTTAAAAAATCTTTATAAGCAGGAGCAGGCTGCTACAATCCTAATTCCACTGTGGGGCCACACGTTTAAAAACTCTTACCTCATTTGCTTCCAAAAAATCCAGTTAGGATGATTCGAAAAGAAGACGATTTAGAACTTTGCAACAGGTTTTTTATTTTTGCTTTATATCTAGTACAGTGTTTGAAACCTAAAGAAATACATTTTCTCTTCAAATTTGGATGTGTATATAAATATCATTTGTCTGGACTCAGCACACTCAATGCCACGGTTTCTTGGCCTATGTCTGCTCTGAAATCATCAAGCTTTTCTGTCTACCCAGGGGCCCTGAGAACATGGAAAATAGCCAGAGTTTATAGTTCTTAGAAAACTAAAAGCAAATGGACTTGGAAAGAATAAACCAATGATGAAAAAGTTTTGATTCACCTTCCTAGGGTCTTTAGCTGGGAACCCAAGCTGTTTTTGAAGGACATCAGTCTGACCTCGGTGGCTGGGACCTCATACCCACCCTTCACCCCTCCTTAGCTTCTTTAGTCATCAGTCAAAGGCAGATCCCATGGAAGCTGGCTATAGGAGACAATACCTGACTCTAGGGTCTAAGGGTTCTGGTAGAGGTGGGACTCTTGAATGACATCCTGAGTCAAGAGGCTCCCAGCCAGTTTCAGGATCTGAGTTTTGACTTCCTTCACCGGCCCCAGGGCATGGCAAGTTTTCTCTCCCCAAACCAGGAGCTGAAAATCTAACTTACACAGGGGAGCAGGGCTAGTGTTAGGAAAGGGGTTTAGGTATGTGCCAACAAGGACATCAGCAGTCAGGCTGGCCAAGAAATAGCGAGGTAGGCCCAAACCCACTGGAGACCTTTAGGACACACTACAGAAACCTTTTTCCTGGGTGTTCTGGGCCCAAAATTTAATGTTGCCCCCCACACCCAGTTTTGGTTCTGCACATACCCCAGGTCTAATGCAAAATGCTCTCTCAGAGGAAAATAACAGCTTTAATTCACAGACTTGATTGGTATTGACTTCAAATTCTTCCCTTGTCATGGTCTTAAAGTGGGGATGGGGCTAGTGGGCAGACAGTGGGATGACTGAATCATTTACAAAGGCCTTGGCCAAAGAGCAGCTAGTGCCTACTACATGGATCCCCTTAGGGCCAAATTCTCAGCTGGTTGGCTTAACAAAAGTCTTCAAAAGTTAAGACACAGAAAAAATACTGGACAAGATTGGTCTAGAATGTGCAATCCTAAACAGCTGTGGAAGAAACCTACTCTGAGCAATATTGCAGTCTCACACTCACTCACTTCTAGGACAGTTTCTAGGACTTCTAGCCATTTCTAGGAAAGTCCTACCTAGAAGATGTTGCTACTGGTAATGAGTACTTCCTATGGTTCAGTGCAGAGCCTCACACCTTTCCCCAGCCTGCCAGGGAGGCCTCCAGCCTGCCCGTCCTCCCTATGGCTCCCCTCCTTCAACTGAAAATCCAGAATCTGAGCTCACAGACGAATCTACTGAAGAATCCCAGATGAGGAAACCCAGCTAAGTGAGTCTCAGGGAGGAGAGGGAAGCAGTTAGGTATTCATCTCCTTCCCTTTTAGTTTGCTAGAAACAAGTAGCTCTAGGGCATAGAGGGAAACATGTAGACGTGAGAACATGGAAATCTAGTTCTTCCTGCCAGATGGTTTTCATTTTAAACTAGTGTGACTTGAGAGAAATAGAAAAGTGTGCCTGAGAGCTTTCTTTCACTCGTCCTTGACCAAGTACAGTAGCAGCTATGATCTGTGCAGTTTAACTCTAAAAAATAGGGCTCTTGGAAAGTGGCTTCCAGGGCAAAGAATAGAAAGAATAGATCTAAGGGTTCTAGGTAAGGGGGTGGGTAAGAGCAAGGGTCCCCGAAAGCTGAGGTCATCAGTGCCTGCTCCTCAGACAGGTCATTTGTCCGCACTGCCCCAAGTAACCAGGCCAGCCAGCTCAAAGTGGAACCCATGAGGTCTCACTGGAAGGTGGCAGCCAACGCCAAGGCCACACAGTCACCTGGGAACAGCTCAGAATTGAAGGCAGACTTGTAACACCAGAGACTCTATTAGTACTAGAGATGTTGGGGGTGGGATAACCAGTGGGGCTGCCAATAAAGAATGGCTGGTACCGTTCCAACAGTCCTTGAACACTTCAGCTAAGAAAGAGGCTCCTTATCCTCGAATCCACACCTAGATACCTCCAGCTCCAGCAGAGATCTTAAAATGCATATAGCAGCCGTATGCCAGCATGTGAAGATTCCAAAAACATGTCTTTTCAAGCTATTCCCTACAAGAGGCTGCAGAGCCCCTTCATTCCCACAACATCCATTCAGAAATCTACCGGAAAGCAGACTTGGACCTCACTGAGGCCAGGGTCTGA